ACGAGAAGTAGAAGAAACTCGACCTCGACCGCCGAAAATATTGAATCCTTGTATATAGGAGGTAATAAATAGAGTTACAAACCTAGCGAATATGACAATTTTTTATATAGATTTTGTTGACTATAGTTTTCGTTGGATCAAATAAAGTAAAAAGTACACTTGCTCTAGACTTATTAGGATATTTATTGAAATATTACAGTACTTTTCAAACAAATTGTCGTAAAAAACCTCTTAAATGCCAATCTGAGTCACTTAAATTATTCATCGTCGTGTTCTGCACTATCATCGTTCCCAACTTCTGTACTTTCAGCACTATTAATATTATGTCTTTGTATTTTCTTATCTTCCTTGGGTTTTAGAGAAAAATAAAAGGCAGTGAAGCCTCAGGAATGCTCGGAAGACTGTTTGCTTTTGATTTTTGATTTACATAGGTCTAATAAACCATTTACTTTTCTAACATCTACTGGAAGCAAGCTTGTGTACAGTAAAGGTAGTTCCTAAAGCGTATTGTTTTGCGGTCTCATTCTCTGATAATGTGCCTTCGATTTCACTATCGTGAGATATTATATTATATTTCCCTTCACAAGGCACGTCTGAGGAAAAATGGACTTCCTTTATCTTATTTATTTTCAACTCTTCTCAACAATTGTCTTTGTTCCAATTTTCCGATTTTACCTTTTGTTTAAAACTAATAGATCCATGATCAACCGCAGACAGCGCTGTTTCGAGATCTTTAGCCCTCATCAGTATGATACGGGTCTATGTCCGGTCCAGACTTGGAGATGAACGAATGAAAAGCAAACACGCGAGTATCGTCTCAGCAAAACCCGAAGACTGTGGTAATTGAATTCTCTGTTAAACTTTTTTATTTCACAGGCATGAGAGAAACAGACTATGATGCGACAAATCCCAATGCATAACGTGCAGAACAGGATGCTATGAACCTTTTTGTTGTGTGAATTCGACACCTGTGGTAGTAAAGAATGAAGCTATTTATGAATCAAACTTGCCTGGATTTAACGGTGCTGCAACTCCTCTTAGCTTCTTTGCGTTTGCCAGAATTATTTTGGATCTTGAATTCATTTTAGTGCGGTTTGAAAACTCCTTGAAACGTTTTCATAGTTTTCGTTATATAGTAAATCAGACAGTAGGTCTAACAGTGAGTTCGGCTTTCCGTGATTTTTTGCATCGAAGACTGAAGTAACTCAATTTGATACAGTTTACGCGGGAGCAATGGCCACTATTATACTTACTGTATGACTTAGAATATTTACTGGTTCCATACAGTTTCATGAGAGAGATGCAACATTCTTCCACCAAAGAAAACCCGACAAGGTCTATCGATACCGTATAGTAGGTCAAAAGCAAGGATTTTTGAGATACTATAGACTTCGTTGCAGGAGTCGACTTTTTAGGATTCTGTAAGGATTTTTTTGAGGCTTCATATATATGTATGTCGAACGTAGGATAAACAACATGGCGTAGTACTAACTGTGTTATTGATTAAAAGACAGACAATTCTGCGGTAACAGTATATGCTCTTTTTTATTTAGAGATAGGCATCCTCGATAAAATTAATGACTTCGTTAGAAAATATTATCAATTCTAGCCGGGTTCAAACCAGAAGCATTAATATTACAATTTGACAAGGATTACAACATATTCCCATCGCTCCTGTAACATGTGAAATTAGCAGATACTATCTTCTTGGTTATGATGGCGGTATGGTCTTATCACCATTGTGTGTAGTTTTTCGAAATCTGTTGAAATGGGTTCACACGATTTTCTGCAAAACAACGTAAGTTCTTCTATTACTATGGTACAGCATGGATTTGTGAAGACAATGTCGACAAAAACAAGCTTAGCCTGTCTAACTCAGATATTAGCAGGTGCTTTAGATTCTAATGGATAGATTGATGTATTCTATACCATGGTTCACTCCTGGAAAATCTAAATAACATTGACTTGTCAAAAAAATTGGTTTTACTGTTTCAGTCTCAGATGTCAGGTTGCAAACTATACAGGGTGTCCGCAATGTTGGGGTTTTCCTTTACACGACGTGTAGATCTTGAAAACATAAGCAATTTTTCTTAGTACCGCATACACCAATGTCTTAAGGGAACCGAGATAAAGGGCTCTGCAACATCAAAAATATCTGAATACCGTCCTGTAGCCGCGACATCCCCGAGTGGTACTAGGACACTAGCTCAACCCGACGACAGAACTGGTTCGGGGTCAGTGTGTCAGGTCAGTATGCAACCTTCAACCGACGGTTACGGTCACGCGTGTAGAGGAATCCCTCAACAAGCACTAGAGACGTGGCTAGAGAAGTGCAAGTATCAAAAACTAAAGTGTGGCAAACGCTGCGTGAAGAGGGGCTGTATCCGTTTCACGTCCAACGTGTACAAGCCCTTCAACCTGACGATTTTCCAGCAAGAGTGCGGTTTTGTGAGTGGTTGTTGCATCAACATGACAATAATCCGGACTTTTTGAAGTGCATATTGATGACAGACGCATCTGCGATCACGCGTAATGGGGTGAATAACTTTCGCAACACTCATGTTTGGTCGGTAGAAAATCCGCACGCTGTCCGTCGGGCACATTTTCAACAAACATTTTCGGTGAATGTTTAGGGGTGGCATGGTGAACGGTATGCTCATTGGACCATTTATTCTCCCAAATCGATTGGACGGGATGCAATACCTAGACCTTTTACGCAACATTTTGCCTTGCTTGTTTGCCTGCGTCTGCTCGGTAGCGCATCAGCTGATTTCATTTTCTGTTGGAGCGGTATGATTTCGGGCAGAGACGTACTTAGCCCTTCTCGTCAACTGGAGAGTGAGTACTTTTCCTTTATTTTTTTTTACTTGGTCGCCCTCGTTTCACTACACATTACCTTTGTTATTTCAAGGGTAGTTGTTTCTGAAAAGGAAAACCCCAACTTTGCGGACACCCTGTATTTTCTTTGTAATTTTTATTGTCTTATGTATCAATTATTGTTTCCTTCTTTGACTTGTCGCTTGTATTAGCATGGATCTTCTTTAGGTCCACTACTGTTCATCGTTTTGATCAATGGTATAGTAGATGTGACAGTAATATTCTGCTGAAATTTTGAAACAGACGCGAAGCCTTGACTGCTATGTGTGCAGTCAGGGTATCAATCAAGTTCTTGAATCCACATGCCCCTAATGGACTTTATTAACCAGAATAATTATGTAAGCACGGTGTGAGCTTCATAAGCTACAATAACTGTGCCAGTCCTTGATCAAAAAGCCTGATTACCCCATTGCAAGTGATTGATACGTCACAAGTGCAAGCTTAACTCGCTAGAAATAAACTTCAGAGTTCGATTTCACGTCCCACATTGCTTCTTCATTATGCCTCATAAAACGCTGGAAATATTCAGAATATTCAGCGTGGCGTTGAATGCTAGTTTGTTGTGTTAATTGCTTTTGTGTATTTATTGCTTTGACAGGTCGGCATTTTTATGAGCCCCTTAAATAACTGCCCGTTTGGAAAATTGATACTCTCAGACAGCCGGATATATTTATATCCAGACCACCGTAAAAACTGGAGACCCCTTCAGTGTTTTGCTACTTAAAGGTAATGAATACATTTTATTCCTCACGCCTATAGAAGAAAATATTGTAGTAGTGAAGCTTTTTCAATGGAAATATGTTTTAATGAGTCTTCGTTACAAATTATTGTATACAAAGTAATATATGACAGGAAAAACGGCTCCCACTTTGTTATGTCTTATTGCCTTTCTAGTAATAGTCTCGTTGTACTAAAGTAAGTGTAAGTAGAATAATAGGCTAGAGATAGAAACAATATTTTTTACACTACCTGAATATGATTTTTAGTACCCAAATTTATAGAAAGTGTCTGTTTTATTTTTTGAATTACTTTCTGCCTTAGAAAAATTGCTCCGGTTTTTACAACCTCCCTGTATAGTAGTAGCTTCATGCATGCAATGACTATATCTACGTCTATTAGCTTGGAATGTATGCTTCTAGACCTTGTGCAGCTTCATGAGGTAAGACTTGAGCAATAGTAAAAAACGAGGAATGTCTTTTAAGTTTTGCATAGAGAAACACAGTAGGCCGCGCGGATCGAACGTCAGTACCGAATCTTAACCGCACTCTTTAGTAAACTTAAATTCAAATTTTCATAACAATACGTGCAGTGCAGTCTTCTCACTACAGTGAATTTTTAAGTGTCACCGAGTCATTAAAAAAATGGAACTCAACCGGGAACATTTTTGTGCCATAATTTATTACAACCTTCAGAGACAATTATTGCAATAAGAATGCTTTGCTGAGTTGCTGTCTGTTTTCGGCAACGAAGCGCCACATCAGTCGACAATTTCCCGTTGATATGGAGAATTCAAACGTGGACGGGTGAGTCTTAGCGATGATTCCAGGGTGGGTGCACCAAAAACGGCAGTCACCCAGGAAAACATCGATGCTGTGCGCAAACTCATCATTGAAGATAGACATGAGACATATCGCGAGATTGAGGCATATTTGAAGATCTCAAAGACCTGAAGCCAAAAAATTTTACATGAATTAGGAGTAAGAAAATTAGTTTCTCGTTGGATACCCCACTTGTTGACTGAAGAGCAGAAAGCAGACAGGGTTAATTGGTGTCAAAAAACGCTTGACCGTTTCAATTCCGAAACTCAAAAAATGTGTACAGCATTGATAGTGGTGATGAATCATGGATTTACTGTTATGAACCAGAAAATAAACGACAGTTGGCTGTTTGGGTGTTTCAAGGTGAAGAAAATCCAACAAAAGTCATCCGTTCTCGAAGTGTTTCGAAAAAAATGGTCGCGACATTTGTATCAAAAGCGGGTCATATTGCGACAATTCCTCTTAATGATCAAATAACTGTCATCACCGAGCTTCGAAAAATCAACCCCGAAAGAAGAATCATCCTCCACCAAGACAATGCAAGTTCGGACACAGACCAAAAAACAAGACAGTATTTAATGGAAGAAAACGTTGAATTATTGGACCATCCTCCATATAGTCCCGATCTAAGTCCTAACGATTTCTTTACTTTCCCGAAAATTAAAAACAGACTGCGTGGTCAAAGGTTCCAGTCACCAGAAAAAGCAGTTGACGCATTCAAAAATGCCGTTTTGGATCTGCCAGCAAACGAGTGGAACAAGTGCTCCAAAAATTGGTTCGAGCGCATGCAGATGTATATTAACCTTCGTGGAGAATACTTCGAAAAACAATAAAGTCATTTAAAACTACCTACCGTGTTGTCTTATTTCCATATGCGGAACTTAAAGGACATCCCTCGTACAATATTGTTATCAATTGATTCTGTAGTTGCAAAAGCTACCAATAGTATGGAGTATAACCTAAAAAAACTAGTACAGCTGGCATTCGTTTTTTGAAATCCCCAATAAAAGAATTTTATGGAGCATTGAGTCTGTCAAATAAAAATTGCATTTGAAAAGAGCGCGGTTACTGAAAACAGAAACTCTGCTAATACTGCTGAGTATCTAATAAAATGTAATGAGTCGAAAACCGATTGGTACCTGGTTACAAACGGGTCGCTACTAGAATCTGGAATCTCCGTTAACGTCAACCTCATATATCACACAATGCTCCGGCGACCACTTTTACGTTCCTAGAGACCAACAGTCATCTCAGAAATGTCCAACATTGGAATTCACTTAAAATTCTATCCTAATCGACTTTTAATCGTTCTTCTTTTGTAGCAATGAATTATTTAATAGAGAAATAGAGACAAGCTACTCACTAATTTACAGATCAGCTGTAAAAGATTTATCACAAATTCAATCAAGTTAACTGTTAATCCCTGAATACTAAATAACTGCCACGGAGGTAAGCAAGAAGCTATTACAAGATAGAAAATACCTTTATAGGCGCATGTCAATATTATGCCGCTATAATTATATTTCCCGCTCTTCGCTCAAATGGTTGTAGTTTTCACCGTAAGAGCAATTAAATGGAATAGGTAGCACTGGGTATTAAGAAACGTCACCACTATCGGAAAGATCGACATGTCGGCAGTTAAACGTTAGATTGAATAAATCGTTGCTTCAGATACTAACAGATGCTGTATGTGCGAAGATTTCTTTGTGTTTGGTGTCTGGTGCAAAAGTACATATCTGGGAAGAATTAATACAACTGCGGGTTAACAAAAATATTTGTATTGCTAACTAGAGAATTCATGGTCCATGAACCGTCAGTTTCTCGATAGACCATGGACTGAAAAAAGTCAGTGACTTTCCAACCAAGTTGTGCTAGAATTAAAAAGAAAAAAACAGCTATCCCAAATCGACAGCATTTTAATGTTGGATGGCTATTTTGATATGCATATACATTGAGTCAATAATTGTTCATAGTTCCTACTACGGATTTTTGTGAGTCACAGCAAAACATTAATACACCCATCTTCCTCAGACTTGAAAATATTCTCGTCCACGAATGAGTCTTCCATTTTTATGCTTGTCACTGTCAGTATGACAACTTTCTTCTCATGGGCGTGTGATAGCTTTTGTTGATCCCAGGCCAAAACATAACAATGTCTGTAGATGCAATGTTGGCAGTTGGTGGCAAATTTGTCGATATATTTTCATAGACCTAATGAAAACAACGGCCCTCTATCACCCAAATCATGTGTGTGTGTGTGCAGGCGCGAGTGACGGCTGTGTTAAGGATCAGCTTGCGCAGAATGCAACTTCCTCTTTGGAAGATAAGCTACAGTCACTCAATATATTTACTTATATTGTGACGTAACCGCCTAAGACCACGAAGAGACATACATGTACGTATGTATATCACTGTGCCATTTCTCGTATTAGGAGAGGCTTAAATACAAATTTGAGAATACAGTATCACATTCATTACCTACCAATAAATACTACCCTCAAATCCATAAACCAACTTCTCTATGAAGGATAATCTTACCTTACAGAAGCTGCCTACGTTTTTAGTAACATTTATCTCTCTTGTTGGATATACTGTGAGAAACCTACATTCTGTAAGAACTTACTCCCTTGCTAGTATATTTATTCCCTAACCAAGATACGATGCCCTTTTAAGAATACGACTGGTGTCTACAATACCATTTATGAATAAAATAAAACAAATGTCATGTGGGTAAGGTGTCAGTGAGTTAGTCACGCTGTGTCGTAAAATTTCAAGTGTTGTTATTGTAAATACGTCGTATTTGTTTCAATAGAAAAGATTTGAAAGCATGTCCAATACGTGTGATAGGTATCTAGTATGATAATGACCAAAAGATAATACCGCTCAAATAAGTGCAAAAGTGATAAAATGCCTCTAGAACGTCAGGCATAAATGCTCATTATACTGGATGCGAGTCTGTCAATTCAAGTTCTGTCGAACACAATGAAACAACTGATTGAGAAGCTCTAAATCTAACGATCTTCCAAAAAAAGTGATGCTGTGCTTTGGTGAAATAACTAGCGATTTATTTGAATGATCTACCCCAAAAATGAAGCCCATTTCTAAAATTGGTATTCGTTGGCTAGAATATATACTATTAACAGGATCTGATCTGAACTCACTTGTACATTTGGAGTCGTTTCAAGTCCTAACTGATTATACTTCCATTATACATTTTGGTACCAATCGAGTCACATTTTTGAAACTCCTCTTTATTAGTACTGAAGAAGGTCACCGTTGGGACCGAAACGTACAATAAAGAGGAAATTTGAACATACATGTGGTTTGACTCGGCCAGAGGAACATCGAGGATTACCAACACGAGAACCACAGGATAAGACTGAGATTTTCATTATACGTATTTTCGTGGTATTTATTAATCGTAAAAGTGATGTAAGAGTCCATGAAAATTGCGTGCATTTGTTTTCGAACTTATAGCGACAGCATTCATTCTTCATGCATTGAAGACTGGGACCTAATGTACTTAGTTTTCCGTATCAGATACGATGTTCTCTCCTTTTCCTTATTTACTTAATTTAAATAACATGGGCAAACTTAGCCCATATATCATAATACTAATGGTATCATCCAAGTATCCCTACTCTGCCTTTAAGGTACGTACATAATCTTGTGAAATAGGCAATAAAATCGTATTTATTACCTTTGTTAAGGGCACAAGCTGAGAGGAAGGACCCTTTTAAGGGTGTGCTCGTATTTCAACAATATTAAGCACCAATTCTGTTTAACATGGTCTCATATTTATTCATATGGGTAGTAAATTAAAAATATGGATTGGTATTCATTTATTAACCCACGGTTGTTGGTTTCTCAATGGGGTGCCTAAGGCAGTCTAATGTTTATAGGACAGGGGTGTGTTTGGTGAACCCGAACTTATCTAAATTCATATTTTTCTTAGATAAATGTAAACAGATATATGGTTTTCGTTTGTTAATTCAGCTCGTCAACTCATCCACGTTAACCCTCTGCTTATATCTATTGTTATTCTGTAGACGGTACGACAATATAATGAAGAGAAGTGCAACCATGTAAGAGTTGCTGGAAGTTGATTACTGTAGTGCATGATTATATTCGAGTTTTGGTCACTATAGGTGTACTTCTTTGTTTTTGCTACAATTAAATGCTAACCATCATGTGTAGGTACCACCTCTTTGATTACAATGGTCATCCATCAAGATGGTCTTAAATTCCTTTTCTCTCGGTTTCTTCATGTTTCGCTGATCATGATCATGTTTTAGACTTTTTGAGATGAGAAGATAATTTACTTTTTACGCTATGACGAAGATTGTTAGAATTATGAAATTTTTTGAATTGATACATGTTGTTACGGGTATCCCGTAACATGTACCGGGTGGGCATTAATATAGGGGACGAGCGTTGTCTTGGCAAGCACTCATCTACTTGTTAATAAATTCTCATGACAAAAGTGATTGAGAGAAGATACTGGAAAGCATTCTCAGCTTCCCGAGAACGCTGTCAGGCTATGCAATTTCAATCTCTAAAATAGGTAAACATTGGTGTAAAACAATTTTTCTATTTTTGAGGATTCGTTGCCCTGTATGTGCGATAATCCTTGGCACTGAATTCGGAAAATACTTACCGATCAAATTTTGATTAAACCACAAATATACTACCACACCGACAACATACGAACTTTCCGAGTTATCCTAGAAAAATGGCGAAAAGGAAGATGACTCTTTATACCTCACGCTACTGAAATGAATTTATCTACTTCTGGCTTTTGCGCCCTTCAGTAACACAACTTCAGGATGATTTACTTTATTCTATCTAAAAATACATATTGATAGGTACTGCAAGGTACCTCGGTCATTTCTCTGCCTGGCGCAGCATTTCCAGTGATTTATATTACTTGCAATACCTAACAAGTTTCTCATATCAATATATTATACAGTATGATCTTACTACTACTACACTACGCTGTCATCAGCTCTTAAAGGATTATGTTTAGCCCTTCTGAGAAGAAAATTACTTACGAACATGTGTAACAAAAAAATCATCCCTCTGAGAGGAATTGCTGCAGGTCCACATGATCCTTGCGATGACGAGTTCCGCGTGAGTGACGATATTGGTCTTCGCCATGCGCAGTGCACGCAATCCACAGTAGTGAAGAAGCAATTGCCGACGGTGACGTACGACCAAAGGCGACGACTCTTGTCCATCGGGGACCACGTCGCACGTATCGACACTCAACTTTAGGGGACATCAATGATGAAGTAGGTATGCCCAATATGAACTTAGAAAGGCGTATAAATGTACCAACGTCATATACGGTATTTTCCACGAGTATGTATTATGTTTTGACGTCTACTGAGGTGATCAACTGATCACAAAGGCGGCATCTTTGTATTAGTCTGTAACGTTGGCAATAATCAATTTCAGGACCGTATTCAGAGATGTTGCTCACAAATCTGTAACGAAGTAAATGTTAATAATGGTTATTAGAAAATTATTTTTGTACTGGAGTTTACTTAGTACGAGGTACGTCAATAGAACAGGATGTGTTGTCCTTTCCAGAAGCTGTGATTTTAGCTGTAAAAATAATATAGACACGTGTTTCTGGTATATTGTCTGTCAACAGTGTAAAGTAATTCAAATAGAACTTAAGTATGTGCAGAACCTGTCATAAGCATTAGTAATGAATACAGCGCACTCAAACATAAAAATAGAATATAATTCCTGGAAGTTCTCACTCTCTTGATAAGTAGTGAATGACAAATGAATGCCACATTCTTTTGTAAAAACCATAAACTGCATTTCTTATTTCTCTCCT